GAGCAGCTGTATGGTGGCCCTCTGAAAAGCCGAGACTTGCAGTACGGATGACCCAAATCGTTCGCGAGACTGAAGACGCCCACAGAAGTCCACTAAACCTTCACCATTTGCAACAAGCCGGCTTCCATAACAGAGTCGTTTCAGAAAAAGCAGGTCGCGTGAATTTACACCACGGTAATTAATAGTTAAGCCAACTGTGGTTATGATAGCAGCTTAGACTAGGTTCCACAGGTATCAGGAGCGTTTTAGTGGCAGATTTACCTTTTTACATACATCCCCTTGCTTGGGTACCCGAAATACTGCAATATAAAGGAAATGACTCACATCGTGGTAAACAGAAGGAGCAGTGGCTCGCTTTTTTGATGCATATCTATCATGTCGGAAGTGAATTGGCACTCGAATGGTAGCTCCGATAAGGATTTTTCAGGTACATCGAGAATTTCTGTACAGAATGCGCGATAAATAAATTGCACACGATCAGCCTGAAAAGAAAATCGTGAGAATGTCGAAAGTAAGGAAAAAGAAGCCATTGTTTTCAGTTCATTAATAGTCATAGACAACCAAAGTTAGGGAGGACCCGTTTCACGTTAAACTGTCTGCTGGGGTATAAGGCAGGCGACAACACGCGAAAAATTTCTAGATAAGGCAGCACATTTATTTATTTATTTTGTAGGTCGTTCATTCATTCTTGGATGCAAAAATTGGTGGAAACCAATGAAGAACCATCAGCCGACATATGAACAAAATCGAAGGGAAACAAAACAAGTAAACCGACACTAGGTAAACAATCGTGTTGGAATTCAAATACAACTAAGAAACAACGATTGAATGATTTCAGAGAGCGAAGAGGTCCCATTACACAAGAATGGTCCCCTTATGACAATAAGATGACGAGTGAAGCCTAGCCTTTGAATGTGCTGGAGTGGGTAATAAAAGAGTGAATGGTGCTAGGGACAACACCCGAAACAGTACAAGCCTGTCGTATCTGGAGCTGGACTTTCGGCTGTCATGCTTTCTCTCACCCGGCAATCTTAATCCAAGCCCACCAGAGATCGTGAAAAGTGGGTGAATTTTTAAAATAAAGAGGGATATGCTTTGTCAAAAACTCCGCGGTGTTCGAGGCGAAGGTGCGCCTTATGTACGGGCATATCGTACCGCAGAAAACAGGGTATGGGAATAGAAAAGTGACTGCCCACATTCCTACTTCCACCAAACTTGTACCAAAGTAGGCATTACTGCTGGGTAGTAGGGAAACAAAGGCAACGAGCGCGAAACGATGGCTGAGAATAGACACTGAAAAATCCTTTTGAATGAAGGGGAAATTTTACCGCTAATTCAATTACGGGCAGACGTGCCCTCGAAATTTATAAAAAGCTTATTGATTACGACTTTTTGAACGTTCTCTCGCATCGGTAAAATGCGGGTTTTATAACAAAGAATGCCGATCCAACAACGCGTAACAGAGGTCGAGGAATAGGCCGGCACGACCGGGATCAGCCTTTGAGATGATGTTCGAGTCCAGCTATTGTAAAAGAAGCCTACGACCATCAAGTAGTAAGTTACGTTAAGTTTCCTAGCTTTAACCGTATACACCTATCTAGTGAGTGATACACATTTCAACATGAGTAGAAAATGCGTAACCCTTGACAGCAAAATCCAGAATCGGGCGAGGATAACTTTTTAATCAGCGTAAGCCCATGCCGAAGAAGCAATAAGGGCTACCGTGACATCCCAGATGCCACTATTGAATTAGCAAATCCTGATTTCGAGCGAAATGTATGGTCCGGATGTTCCCGTCTCAGTGCCAGAAATAATTGACCGTTCGCCCTTTCCTTGGAAGAAAACAAACATGTTGCATCAAACTATATTTGAAAAGTTCATTCAGAATTGACGGAAAGCCGATCAGCATTTGGCATAGATCGAGGCGCATATTGCTGACCTGCGCATGGATTGAAAGAAAACATCTTACCCCTAAATAGGCGCCCGCCCACCCTCAACCGACCAGGTCGGAATGTGCACACTAACTTGCACCTCAGTTACAGGAAGGTCCGGATGCCTACTCCGAAGCTCAAAGGTCGCGCTATCGTGATTAGGGTTACCTCTACGCTGCGCCCTGTACCCCTTCTTCAATAAGGTTTGGGCACATTGAGCGCAGGACCAAAGTCGTTGAGGGATAGCCGCATAGAGAGTACATAGTCTTCACTAGATAAAGTCTTGATTAGTGCAAATCGCTGGTGAGTGCTCCCTCTCCCCCCCCCCCCCGCCACTACGCTAGCGATGCAGCCCCTCCATCAGTCGCTCGGAAGCGGTTGATTTGTACCACCAACAATCGAAAAAACCTTTCAAAAAACTTGGTCAAGACATACAAGTCTACATGGATATCTCTGACACCTATTGATGGTCTGAGTGGATATTGCATAAAACGAGATTATTCTACATTTACACCATTCAAACGAATGCTATGAGCATGGTCAATAGTAATTTATGCATTTCTCACTACATAGATTAAACAGCCGAGCATGGAAAATTGTTAGAAATCACGCATAAAAGAAAATTATTAATGGGTAAAGTAATAAAAAAATAAGGGAATCAAGACTCACTGTAGGATGAATGATGTCTTCCCCACTGATACCTATTTTGAGACATGATAAAGCTTCAACAATGGAACGTGAATCAAGTACAAGGGTGGACATCCCTGAACAAAGAAATATATTTGTTTCAACCATGTCCAAAGCACAAATAATACGAGTTCATTCCAACATATTCCGACCGTTGAGATTCCGTGCAAATAAAAAATTATAGACATAAGCAAACTTAATCAATCTGTTGAAATATTATTAAAAGAAGGAAACCATTGTGGCAATCTAATTTATAGAAGAAGTTTTCGTATAATGATTGTTCGCGCCTTCAAAACATCAACGCGGCTGCGTCGCGGCCGCGCCATTGGAGCGCATTTTCTCGAGGTCAGTGCACAGCTACGGTCTGCTCGCCGTTATTATTGTTCATCTGGTCGTAATCATCGCGTCTGATGCGGACAGCAGGAAAGAGGAGGGCGAGAATGGCACCTAGACTACAGTGAGTACAT